ATTGGTCGGCTTTTGAAAAAGCAAAAACCGCCAATAGATTGCTCGGAGGAGCGTGGCAGAAGATTTGCCTAAATATCGGTATTTACTTTCCTGTTCTTTGTCATTTTTTACCCCTATCTAAATAACCGTTGTTGTTCTACTGTGTCATAGTGAAAAGAACGATAACAGTTTATCTTGGTTGCGGACCACAAACCAGAAACTGATAGATACCCATAATAAAAAAAATAATGTATTTGCAACAGGTATCCGCTTATCTCCAAACATAAACCCGAGAAAATCGATAGGCCCGTCAAAATCGCGAAATAATCTCACCTAATTAAGTATCGACCGTGCTTGTTATTCTATTACGTATAATAAAGAAAATAACCTCTCGAAATTGTATATAGATCTAAGATAAGGGTAGATAATCAAAAATGGAAATTTTTCGTTAAGTAGGTGTGCCTGTTGATTTCGTACCGGCGGCGGCGGCGACGTCGGCATCGCGCGCGTTTATTATTCCGTTTTGTTGCTTTTCTGTTTTTTGCGTGACCGTTTTTGATAATTGCAAAAGATAAGTGTACACACAGACCGTGATATTATGAGAGCGATAAAAGTCGCAATCGAAGCTTTCCCAACAACAACATGTGTCAAGAGGAAAAAAGGGTTGCATTTCCTGTCTGTCTGACTCTCGCTGCCACTAAATTATATTTCATTTCTGCTGCTCCGCTACAACCCCTTGCTTCCAGGCGAAATTTTCCGGTCTTATCTTAACGTGCTTAATTACAGTTGTTGATGTATAGCTAATTGAGTTGGCTGATGACAAGCAAAATGTACGTGACGGTAATTAAATTTTATGAAATTGCATTTGAAATTGGACTTGAAAGTTCAAACCACCTCATTTAGAACCAAGTACTGCCATCTGTATGTGGCAGATCACACTCTTCAAAGAAACCTGCGTTGCTTGCCGCGTAAATGATCAATTCTTTGCAATTCTAAAATTTTAGTATCCACTACCCACAATTAAAGCGGACGTTCTACATACTTTCAGATTTAATACAAAGCTATAAGGATCGTGCGAGAGGACAATTACTGAATTTCTGTTGCAGAAAAATTTCTGCCTTGCGTTTTATTTGGATTCTTGAGGAATGGCGGATTTTGTTTTGGTCCTTCAAATTAGGAAATGAATTACTCTTCATCTTAAAACTTAACTGAACGTTAATACAGCGTAAATTCTTCAAGCCTCATACAGCGTGATCGCAATTCACGCACTACCACACCCTTTACTCGTTTTAGTAGCATTTGAAATAGGATAAGATGGGTATTATACGAACTTACCTTATGGCTTTCGCAGGGATAACATTGATTTTTATCTAAATACTCTTTTACTGAGCTACCACACTGGGAATGAGTTCACTGAAACTTTGATATCACGACAATTATACAATCCAACTCATTAAAAAAATGTTAAAGCTTTTCCCAATTCAGTTTCGTTGAATTAGAAAGAAATAGGAAACTTAATCCTCTACTTTAGATTCGAGAAACATTACCGTACAAAAACAATCTACAATACCCCTAGTCCGTATTATTTCAAAACGTGGTAGATATCCCAACATTTCTGCGTGACGAATATATTACCCTAGGGCAAGGTCAACCTTCTTGGTAATTGTAGCTCCTTTATGAGACATGAAAAGACTCCAAATAGCGTTGACAATTATTGGAAAACTACTAAATTAAATCGGGTCGCACTCATTCAAAATCTTTGCCATGCCAAAGATCTAAGTTGATATGTTCGTACCCGCCATGTTTATGGGTCGGTGCAAAGCACACTTCAATTTTTTTATTATATTTTTGTTATGGTAACCACATAATTTAACTGTTTTTCTTTTCCTCAATTTAAATACGCAATAAACGCACTCCGAAATATCTAGTGTATCTCTTAATAACATTAATTTGCGGACAGTTTCACCTGAAAAACAAACAAAAAAACAAATTCAAACTACTTTATTACTTTTTTATTACTTATTAATATAAGGCATGTCAAACTATTAAACCATAACTATATACCACCTAGTGGGAATGTATATACTTAGATTGTATTCCTCAATTGAGTAAAACGCATTTTTAATTAGTAAATTTTTTGTTTTTTAATTAAAATTACGTTCTGATAAAGCTTTATACTTTTGTGGTAATGTATTGAATAATATAGCTCTATTGTAGGTAGTACGGATTTGATTTTAAGATGATTTAAAGGTAAATCGCGCTGTTAAACAATGACTCCTCGTAAGTTAATTAGCCATTTCTGAACTGATTAATTTTCACGTCTCGTTTTATGTATCATTTGAACATTAGTAAACTAACATGCCGTTTGTGAACCGATTCCCGTGGATTATTTGTTATTTAAAAATCGAAAAATTGCACGTTTCCGAATTTTGCACCTTAAGCGTAGTCACTATTTAAACTAATTCTTCTTTTACAACTCCGAAAAACACGCGGACGAGATGTCATGGACCTCTCTTAACCCGCTGTGCGCTTGGCTATTTATATTAAAGTCAAAACGGAACCAACGAAAATACGTCGATCGGCGTTCCTTTTAAACCAATAGCAAGCCAGCATCTTTTTTTACAATTTTGTTTCGGCTAAAACGGAACCGCCGCATCAGTGTGGTTCGCACCTACTACGCATGCTAGGGTAGACACGCCATTTTGCCTACATATCAAATTTGGAAACAATTTAATTGCAAAGTGGGCTCTCTTTACAACCTGCATACTCGCGACCCTTGCAATTCGACTCATTTTTAAATATAGCAAGGTTTATGTAGCACCTTTTACTTCGGGGCGGGAAACTCTGAAATAAGAAAAATATAAAACCCTCAAAACAAAAAAAGAGCGGAAGACGAAATAAGAAGAAGGGAAAGTAACATGAGAAGAGAGAGTGCGACATACGTAGAGGGAAAGAAAGAGGAAGAATGGAAAAATTTTGTAATGATATATCCCAGGGAATTTCATTCGTACCACCCAGTTCTAGCCGAAGGATATCGAGATTTCAGAATGGCGCGAAACATTTTGACAACGAAAGTTAAATGGTGCTGCTTGTCATTGATTCCCAGTGTTGCCAATTGTAAGTCAAAATTTTCAGTGTCTGCTGAGGAATCCCTACGATCATCAGAATAATGAAAGAACCAATGGTAGGCGTGGAGGGAAAAATAATAATGCCGGCAGAAGGTACAAAAGAATGGATAGACGAGAACAAAGAGAAGAGGAAAGGGGCGATGAAATAGCAGAAAGAAAAGTTACAAGTGCAAGCTAAGTTCGTCTAAATAAAATAATGGTCGCCGAAGTAGGAAAAGAAGGAATTATGAGGAGTAAGAACAATGTTGAGAGGAGCAAAATATGCATAATGTGTCGAGCTTATTTTTGAGGAAAGAGGAAAGAGAAGAGGAGGAAGAATAGGGAAAAAAGCACTACGCTAGGTATGGGTAGGTATATTGTTGGTAGATGACGAGGAATGCAGATTAAGTAACAGAAAAACGAATTGAGAAGAACAGAGAGTATGAAAACGGGTAAGAGGAGGCTGTGGAGTTTGTAGGGAGAAAGAGTAAGAGAGCGAGAATAGGACTAAAAGCGAAAGGACCGTAGGGGTAGCAAGCAAATTTGAAAAGTTCTAGGATTTTGTAAGCAAATAGGTAAGATTCGTGAAAGATAAAAAAGGGAGATCGAAAGGTGGTATAATAAAAATCGCGAAGGAAGATAAAAGAAGTTGATAAGGAAGTGAGTCCTAAAAGATCTTAGGAAAAGGCGGAAGGATTTAAAAGTAATTGCGCGGTTCATATGTGGAAGAGAGGGGAAGAATTTAGATATCTGGTATAAGAACGCAGGGAAGGAAGGAAAGCAAAAAGAGGGGAAGGACTGAATGACGACTATATAAAAGTAGAAACAAAGAAGAAGAGAAATCCAACAGAGAGAGGAAAACGGGGACGAGGAGAAAAAGCAGGAATGGACACAACGAGGAGACGGCACAAGAAAATGGTATAAGAGAGTGGATGGAAGTTAGGATAAATGGGTAAGAAAACCTGTTGAAACGATATAGAAGAAGGAATTACTAATAATAGTAACAAAACCACGACATGTGAGGAGCAACTGTGCGACGTAAAGTAAACTCTAATATAAAGGAAGGTGAGGTTAAATAAGAGGCACTCCCCTTTGACGACGACCCAAATCAAATACTACCCTCGCGCAAGACGAACTCCTGTCAGAGAAAGAAAAAAGAATACTCGTGATAGAAGAAAAAATGAATTAATGAAGTAATTAAATAATTAAAAATGCATATGATCAAGGGGCGAGAGGACCCAAATAAATAAAATACTCATTTTATAGCATATATTAAATTGGCATTTTAAAAGTTTGAATGAGTCGGCAAAGTCGCTGATCAGTTGAACAATTTAACCGCAACGGTAGATAAAGTGAAGCAGATGATTGTGCATTCTAATGACATATCTGTCATTCTTATTTCAAATGGGACGCAAAGCGAGATATAAAATGACGTTCAGAACATAATATTATGACAATGCTGTTTCTGTAAAAACGATCGCAACGGCAGTACCTAAGCTTGCTATTTTTGACTATGATACTGTAGGAACTTCGGCCCTTCATGAATACACAAACGGTATCGGTCATCACTCATCACTGTCATTTGGCTTAAAATTTGTAACCTGAAATTGAGAATTGATGACATTACGTTATTTACTTATTGCATTTCCATTATAATTAAATTTATCTGTCCAAGGTAAAATTGCCTTACAAATAAATTAGTTCGTAGTAGGTAATCAGTAATTTTATACAGAATTCATATTTTTGTCAGAATAATTATCTAGCCTCTTCTTGCAAAATAACATCTCGTATGCGAAAACGGAAATTATTTTTCATTACAACTTACCATCAGTTCAAGGATCAGTTTTATGCGACTTTCATGTTTATATACTTTAGATTATTTATAATCCTTCAAAGCCGAAATTTTAAATAAAATAAAGACATAAACACTTATTTATTATTACTAAAGCTAACACCGATACAATCACATTTTGATATGGTAACATCAAAGAAAAAGACGTAAACAAACATCGAACTGTTTAATCAACTTTATCACTAATATTGCTAGATTTTATGAGATTTTCTATCGTAAATAAACTCGAGTTTTTATATTTATGTAAAGGAGTTTCGCAAATCCCTTCTTCGCCCGTTTTCGTGGAGGAATTTGATGAATTTCTTGAAACTAACGCGAGTGCTTGTTCCTGTAACAATAAAGCAAACATATATTACGTGAATCTGAAATTCTTATCTTGCAGTTTATATTTCTGTTCTCTCAACAGCTGCCATAATGAAATTCAAATATTTAGAAAAAAAAACTGGGAAAGAGAAAACTTAGTTTTCTGAAAATATGCATTATACACATACTTCTGGGTTCATTAAATTTCTCCGCAACTTTATTAGAGTGCAGATTTCGGTACGATGCTCGTTACGATTGTTTGAAAAGGCTCTAAACTATGCTACGAGTACCTACATAACGGTATTTTAAAAACTTTTAATTGGCTAAAGCTAAACAGTTCCGTTAGTCATTTTTATTTGTTCTGCGTGGAGTTTGGCTTAATTTATTGAAATAGCTCGTGCAATTTATTGGTAAATACACCGTTAGACATTTAATTCACAACTTCACGTGCTACTGACGAATTTAAGAAATAGTTATTTACATAAAAGTCGGGAAAATGGCACAGTAGTGGCGAGGAAATATTGAAGTACGAGGCCCCTAGGGGCCGAGTACTTTAATTGCCGAGTCATGTAATGTCATTTTACTGACGAGTTTACCTCGGCACTAGAATCACTGCTTTCATTGCCCATATAAGAAAAGATGAGTTTTTCAGTAATTGCTATAAATTGGTATCGATGATGTGCAATATTTCAGAAACGAAACAAATCTAGAAACAAGTTGTAAATTAGCATATGCATTTTTGGTAATACTGATCAGTATTTTATTAGCAAAGTTTAAAATTATCCCATCTCACGAGCAATCTAACTCAAAATATACTAGAGTCTGCACATCTACACTATACAGGGTGCCCATTATGTATGGAATATCGTATATATCTCGATAAATATCGAATGTATTCAAAATGTTTATATATAAAATTCGTTTAACATTTTATTTCCCTAAATAAGGCAGCCTTCAGTTGTTTTTATTTCAAAAAACAAATGAGTAACCTCGTGAGTAACGAAAAACAATTGTATTTTTTTAAATGGCAGTGCACCTTTTCATTGGGCTTATTTTAGAGTGATTTTTTTTCTCTTTTCGGTAATATAACATGTTAGTACCGTTATTCAAAATAATTTTTCCAAAAAATTTATTATGATTTGATCCAGGTATCCTACATCAAAATAAAACAATTGAACGTGTCCGTTTCTTACTAATCCTTGAAGACAAAATGCCGTGCCGGCCCGTGTGGAGCAGTTCAGTTAAAGCTGAACTGTGGTGCTAAGGGTCCCTGGTTCGAGTCCGGGTTCGGGCATGGATGTTTGTAAATGTATAGTGGGTTGGGTTGGTAGAGCAGCCTTGGCTGAAGCCCCGCCCACTCAAAATTAAAGGCAAAATAAAATAAAATTAGCAGTAAAAAGGCTTTCATCGCAATTTCAAAATGTTCACCACACGGCAAGGCAGTGGCATAACCTATCACAAAAAGCTTGAAATAAAAATTATTTTTTTCTACACGGGTACCACGTGTACGTCATTGAAAAGAGAAAAAAATCTCTATCAAATGAGCCTAATAACAGTGTGCATTGTCAATTCAATTGTTTTTCATTATTCGTTTGTTTTCTGAAATAAAAACAATGGAGTAACCTTTTCCCAAATAAGTGTGAGTTCCATCTTAACCCTTCAGAATGTCATCTCCAACTTTTTTTAATATGTGAGTTTTTAGCGCCATGACGTCACACAACTGTTTGTTTCAAATATGAATATTAACCAGAAGTAACGTTGCTTATTGTAGACAATAAATGAATTATTAGTAATAAACACAAACAATTAACCAAAAAAAGCGCGTGAAGTCGCAACAACGTAGGGCCCGAGAGAACGTATCTAAAAATATTGTCCAACTAAGTATACAATTATTAATGAAATAAAAGGCGAATTTCGTTTTTGTCCCAGTATAACAGAAGACACGGAATTCTGTACAAAACTGTAATAAATAGCGGGTTATATACGATACTTCTGAAGCAGGCATTTCTACCCAAAGAAGATATCAGTTCCAGGGGATGATTTGTTGGGGTTTAATTGCACCTGCGTAAACGAGACTAATTGGGGTGTAGCGGTCATTTCTTTTGTTTTATACCGAGTATATCCTGAACCGTGTTGAGAAGGGATCGCTAATTTAGTGGTGTTTCCCCCGCAACGGTGAACGGTGAAAATTGTAAGAGAGGTTAAACATGAATGCGGTGCGGAGTCAATCGCGAGGAAAATTTGCTGTATCAATCTTAGGTTCACTCGCTACGCTTCTCCACAATCCGTGAAACCATTCAGGCAGCTACTGAGCGTGAGTTCAAGTTTAGCCATTTACTTATCGGGTGGTGGGTCATCACTTAATTACCTTAAATAGAGGGGTTGGTGACTCTTCCTTATTATCGTTATCACGATCCTCCTCAAATTTTACTAAATACGGGTGCTTGAAATTCTAGTCTCTGTTTGCTGATTCAACCCCCATCAGCCAGTATATTTGATCTTTAGTCAATGAAAAAAAGTCAACCTTTTCTCAACGAGCCCAGTATTGAAATACTTCACTACAATGTAAATTCTTTTCAATTAATAAGAATGAATTGCATTAGAGATTTAATACGTGCAAATGCCTATAATCCTGCGTGTGGTCTGATCTAATATGAATAAATGCAACAGGTAGGCGCCTTGAGTCCGAACTTAACCTTTGCGTAATATGAAACCACGTTAACTTAACTGAAAAGATTAATTCATTCCTTTTTATTCTCCTCTTATAATTGACCGTACAGAAAGGCCAAATATTGCCTTAAATTATAGGTTCTGTAGGAAGCTCACCTGGGCTGAACTACGCCTTCAAAGACATTAATATTATTCTGTTAGTCGGGCTATTGAACCTCTAACGTTGGCTCTGTAAACCGCACGTCATTTCAACTCCTAATGTCAGTCCACGTTTCCGTGGCCAATCGGTGCAAAGTACGACCAGTTATGCGTTTGCTCGAAGTAGACCGAAAATTAAGGGCTCAGGGTCAATGGTCCTAACATTATCAGCTAGGAGATCAGAGTCTGGCGGAAGGCGTACTTCCATAACAAATTTAGTTTCCAGTTCATGGGTAACCTTTTTAATTAGCAAACTCCTTAACCGCAAGGGTACATAAAGTATTCTAATAACATCTGTCATTCCTATTGCAAATGGGCCACGGAGCACGAAATAAAATAATGTTCAGAACGTATGACAATGCTGTTTCTAGGGGAACGATCGCGACGGTAGAACCTAAGTTTGCTATTTCTGACGTCTAAATTAAATTCAGAATTGTCAGAAGCTTTACAATGATTTATATGGCTTTTGATATAAAATAAAATTTTGTGTCAATGTTGAACCAAAAGTCTACGTTTCGTAAGGGGCTTCATTAGGACAAGAAACAAAATAACAATCAAAAATAAAAATAAAAGCCAAGCCAACGGGAGGCACTAAACTGCACACATTGGAAACTAAACCAGGCTATTTAAATCTGTTCCTTCAAGAAAAATTAAAGAAATAAGGATCGGAACAACTTAAAGAATCGAAAGCGTACAGAAAATTAGAAAAATCGAGAGAATCATAACAATATTAAAACTCTGAAGAGCGTTATAGATTGTAAAGATTTAAAGAAACGGAATACGAATATAAGAAATTACAACTGAGGATTTTGTATAACAGAAAAATCCGAATAATTCGATTTCAACCAAGAGGAAGCATATATAACAATAATAAGGTTCTGGTGCACCCCCGGATGAACCTAACGAAGAAACGAAAAAAATGAGAAAAGTAAAGAATTACAAAATTTGAAAAATCTAAAAAAAACCAAAACTGAAGAAAATCAAATATCCTATTAAATTAATGATTGTATAGAATGTGTGATGTTACATATCTGGCAGTTTTCAATTGAACAGTACCCGCTATAAATTTTATGCACTTATTTAAAGGCGGAAAACGCGAGTGTTGCGACACTGGATATGTCTCGGCGGGAATATTAATAATTCAATTACACAAGGAGGAAAGCTCGCAAGTACTCGTGCGTTATGGTTTTTTTCCGCGAGCGGAAGGATTGCAAGTTGTGGTGTAATCAATGGCGTGTTTGGGGAATTTTCGCTTTAGCTTAATATTATTCTGCTTTTACTTCAGCTTTGGTTTTATTATTTGTTAATTCGAGTTTCAAGATTAATACAAAAAAAAACATACAATTAGGGTCACTTGAAGGTTTTGTGTATTTAGTTACACGTACAGGGTGTTTTTTTAAGGAGGGGCCATAGAAAGTACACACCTACCATACATCATAACCGTAGGTGTATGACAACAGACAATGTTGAGTTATTTAAAATGGGCCATGGGGAAATTTACATTGCGCCAATTGTTCTCAAATCTTGGCCTTGCGCTTAATTATTTCACTGACAGGTCTCAATCTCATTCCTCGAAGCATCCGCAGCTCGAAAAGGTGTTCATGTGGTACAATTTGTACAAGAGTGGGCACAGTAGCTGAGTGGTAATCCAATGTAAATTTCTATATGGCCCATTTTGAATAACTGAACACCTTGTATAGAAGGAAGTCAGAATATAAGTGAGCACATTTCCTGGAAGGTTTTGAGTAGCTCATTTTTGTAATCAATGAAGACCCTAGAGCTACTCTCGGTCGAGGGCAACTTTTATTTGAAATTTGGTTGAATATGTGTTGGTTTAATCGATCTTCCGAGTGATACACACACATCCTCGAGCTTTCGTTTTACAACACAACGCATAGGTCCTATTACTAGACGGATTTGTTACTTGACGATGTGCCATGAGGTTCTAGTTAGTTTTGACAGGAGTTTTGATTTTTGGTTTAGAGTTGCGCAGTCACCTCTCGATGGACTTGGCTTATTGCAAATGCTAATAACAAATTTAATCCTACAGTTAAAATAAAAGAATTCACCAGATTCGAATAATCCGATAAATCTCGATCCGAAGAATCTAAAGGAGCTAAAGAATCTCAAGTCTGAAAAATTTGACAAATCGGAAAATTAGAAATTCGTAGAAACGAAAGAATTCGAAGACTTAAGGATCTGAGGAAACTTAACAGTGAGGAAAAACGTCCGAGGAAATGGAAAAACGTGAAAAACTGAGTAATCTAAGAATTGAAGAATTTTAAAAATCTGAAACATGAGAATGGAAAGAATCCCGAGAACTTAAAGAATATGAAGAGTCTAAGAACACGATAATTCAAAAATAGGAGGGGGTTGTAAAGGATCTGAAAAAATCGAATAATCTGAAGAATCTAAAAAAAAATTAATAAAATTAAGGGGCTGAGAAATTTAACGAATTTAATTCAGCGGAAGAATGCTAAAAATCGTATCTGAAATTTCCGTAAAAACGGAAGAATCTGAGGAATACTCAATGTCCATTTCTAGAAAATTGTATTAAAAGTAAAAAGGACTCGATAGCTGTTTCCCATGGTAGCCTTGTGGTGGAAAAAATCCTCCTCTCCTAAGGAGTATTGCAAAGAACGTAGCACCGAGGAGTCTGGGGGGTATGGAATACCCCCCCCCCCGCCTCTCCAAACCATATTCATTATTCAATGACCATTTCTGGAAAATTATATTAAATGTAACTGACTCGATAACCCTTTCACGTGGTACCCCATACGAGCATTTCACTCCATGCGGTTTTATTGATTAGAAGGAGTGGAGTATGTGTTTAGTAATCCAATTTTTAGTTATTTGACATTTTTTATGGAAACCTTACTTAATCGGATTCGGATTTATTGAATGATCAGTATTATAAATTACACAAATCGGTCATTTATCTGATACATTTTTTGATTTCTGTAACCATTTTCCTTTTTTTGTATGATAAATATAATTACACGCTTAAAATTATGAACATTATTTGTAATATCCAAAAGTAGCATTTTGGAATATTGCACAGAAATCCCAAAGTTGTGCTAATGATTTCGTTTTATCCTCCCAAACCCTTCTGAATACCTACTTGCTAAAATGTAATGAGGGATTTTCGTTATAAGTGACGAAGGTTGAGATCGTAAAATTTCAAACGGGCTTAATTGAATCAATTTTCTCTTTCCCTCCCAATTAGCGGTTAATTTTCCACGCGTTCAAAATCTAAGGCTATAAATTTCGTACCTGTAATAAAGTGGAGGTACACTCCGATACTCTTTGTCTGCGCGTTTTCCTTCGTCTATAATTTCCTTTTTCGAACATGTTAATGGCCGCAGGATCCAACATCCAGTAGCTTCCTTTTCCTCCGGTCTGTTCCGGACCGACGGGCGACACACGATCTCTGGGAACCTTCACGAAGCAGTCATTCAAACTTAGGTTGTGCCTTATCGAGTTTTGCCAACCCTGCTTATTGTCGCGGTAGTAGGGAAAATTGTCCATTATGTAACGGTAAATGCCACTGAGTGTCAATCGCTGCTTTGGAGACGAACTAATTGCCATCGCGATTAAGGCGATGTACGAGTAAGGGGGCTTCTCGGGACGCGGCGGTTGTTGCACCCTTACCGGTAGCGGTAACCAAAGGTGAGGAAAATAGGGGTAGATGCAGTGTCGCGTCAGGTAATTGTGATAATGTAAGTGGGAGATTTCGCACGAGCTGAAACTTTGCAAGAGATCCGGATACTCAACTTTGGATGAAAACATTCTCACTTTCACGTTTTACCCATCGCGTTTATTAAAACCGAAACTAATCTAAGTTTTCAATGAAAGCTCATTTAAACGAAGTTGTTCCTCCCACCATTTTTACGCGGACTTTTCTAAGACGCCTTTAAGTCTCGAGCGACGCACATGTTGACAAAACACCACCTACCCACCACCTATTTACTATACATAATAACGGTGACAATTTATAAACATCCCCGGCAATTAATGGGATTTACTTAAGCAATGTGTCATCGTTAACAAAATTTAGATTTGTTATTTTATTCTTTACTAAATGAGCGCGAGTTTAGTTTATTATATTTGTATTATTTTTTTGCGTACAGAGCCCGATTTTGAAATAGACCGAAACTTGTAAAACAACAAACAATATTTCAAGTGTCGTTAAGCTCACTTGATGTGTTTTCACAGAAGGGCTTTTCTTTTAGAGTCTTTTTAGCAGACGCTCATTTCTTATATATTAATGCATAAATTTACTTGACAACAAATGCCTAAATAAACAGATTTTATGGACGTTCTCGAAAAGCACACACAGAGGAATGTGTTTTTATCATCGCGGAAATAAAAATGAAATTCTGGTGCGCAATTATCTGGACCTCTTTGACTTTTACACCAAAATATATGCAAATTTCAAATCCGACAACGTTTCGTTTCGACTTCTGCTCTCCTCAGATCTGTTTTCAATCAATGTCGATAAAAGCGATTTTAATAATCGAATAAAGCTCAATTTCTCGTTCAAACAGCGATTTTAACATGTGCGATATTCAATTAGGCCCCTTACAGATCAAATATTTTCAGTTTTGTACGACCTCCAATTATGCATATCAAAAACTTACTCACGCTACGATGCTTTAAATTTGTGCGGCCGGCTTTTCTGGCATATAAGGGGGTTGAACCCCCTTCTTGAAATAAAATTTTGACTTTACTAAGTGAACTCGAAAATTCTTCAGCAGAATAATTAACAGACCTCCTTTTCTACTTTCCTGAAAATTGACTTCTGGTTTGCTTTCTCGCAAAATGAAACACAAGATTACCGTAAAGTGTCGGTTCTTTTGACGAAAAAATCAAACAGTGAAAGGCAGGGTGAAAGGTTTCCAAGTGACATTTCGCTTTAGAGATTTTACTACATCATAAATGGACCCAATTAACTGGTTTTTTTTTTATTGAAATCGAAACAAACTAAGTTAAAATAAGAAGCTGACTGTTTATCTCTCAAATCCAATTCCAATGGGTTTTTAAATAGAAAAATACATGCAATACAAAAAAGGCTAAAAATGCCCTTAGGTTGATCTCCTTAAGAACGTTCAAATTAAATGGTGAATTTTCAAATGATGCAAATGTTCTCTGGACGTAGTTTTTTAACGGCTAATACTGGCGTTTAAGAATTACGGGCAAGCCGCAATTTTATCATCACAAGGTTTTATTCTTAACAAACAAGTGTTACGGGAAATAGAAACGTTGATTTCTATATTATGCCAGACAAGGAAAATCTTCACTAAGTATCTAATAATTTTACATTTTTTGCGACTACGAGTTCAATCTCTTCTTGGCTTTCTTGGGCAGCAAACAACTATACTGAATGCTTAAAAACAGCTATTTTGGTAACAGAAATATCTTTTCGCGCTTAATTAATTGGTCCTTGATCACCCCTGCGGATGTTCTTTGCGACGGAAACGCAATTACACAACGATCACTTTAACTTTTTACTACTGCCTAGTTATTTCGCTATAATCTGTACTTTTCGGCGTGGATGAAACCGAGCCACTGAAATTAATTCACTTCAAAGTTTTTTCTCTTTTTTTATTGGATCTAACGTAGCTCGTATCGTTCGTACAATCCGAGGTACAATCTAATAAAAACCAAAAACACCCATAATCACCACTGGTTTGTTTTTTATGCTCGAATCTTACTGAAAACAGGTTTACCTTGTTGTTCTGATCGCGTACTAGTTGCTCATGTTTATGAGATAAGGCTAATTTCAGACATCGCGTATCCAGACATCCGGAAAGCAATATGAAAACAATGCTCTACAGCAGAGCTGGGCAGTATTCGATTTTGTAAATACTTTTTAGTATTCAAATACTTTGTAATTAAATACTTTTATGGAAGCAGTATTTGTATTTGTAACTCAAATACTTTCGCAAATATTTAGTATTCGAATACTTCGCAAAGTATTTGGATACTTCGTAAAGTATTCGAATATTTCGCAAGACATTTGAATATGTACTTTGAGAAGTATTCGAATACTTCGCATAGTATTTGGATTCTACAGGCCACAATCTATAAGAAAATCTTTTTCCGGGTCGATCTGAGACAATTTTTTCTTCGGGCCTCAAAAAAAGGCAGTGTATAACCTTCCTTTTTTACCAAAAATCGACTGCACCAAAATTTCTCGGGAAACACTTTTTCTTATTAATTTTGGTGCGTAGAATCCAAATCAATTCGTACTTTTTCGATCAGACTTCTCAATCAAAAGTTATAGACTAGAAACCAATTTCGAAAAAAATTCAAAGGGCTGTAAGTTTTGAACTAGTAGCCCAATCTTGGAACTGTTTGAAATTATGGATTCTACAGGCCACATTCTATAAGAAAATTTTTTTTCCGGGTCGATCTGAGACAATTTGTTTTGAGGGCCTCAAAAAAGGCAGTGTACAACCTTCCTTTTTTACCAAAAATCGACTGCACCAAAATTTCTCGGGAAAACACTTTTTCTTATTAATTTTGGTGCGTAGTATCCAAAACAATTCGTACTTTTTCGATCAGACTTCTCAATCAAAAGTTATAGACTAGAAACCAATTTCGAAAGAAAAATCAAAGGGCTGTAACTTTTGAACTAGTAGCCCAATCTTGGAACTGTTTGAAATTATGGATTCTACAGGCCACATTCTATAAGAAAATTTTTTTCCTGGTCGATCTGAGACAATTTTTTTTCGGGTCTCAATAAAGGCAGTGTATAACCTTCCTTTTTTACCAAAAATCGACTGCACCATAATTTCTCTGGAAAACACTTTTTCTCATTAATTTTGGTGCATAGAATCCAAAACAATTCGTATACTTTTTCGATCAAACTTTTCAATCAAAAGTTATGGACTAGAAACCAATTCCGAAAGAAAATTCAAAGGGCTGTAACTTTTGAACTAGTAGCCCAATCTTGGAACTGTTTGAAATTATGGATTCTACAGGCCACATTCTATAAGAAAATTTTTTCCGGGTCGATCTGAGACAATTTTTTTTTCGGGTCTCAATAAAATGAAAATTGACTGCTCCAAAATTTCTCGGGTAAACACTTTTTCTTATTAATTTTGGTGCGTAGAATCCAAAACAATTCGTACTTTTTCGATCAGACTTTTCAATCAAAAGTTATGAACTAGAAACCACTTTCGAAAGAAAATTCAAAGGGCTGTAACTTTTAAACTAGTAGCCCAATTTTGGAATTGTTTGAAATTATGGATTCTACAGGCCACATTCTATAAGGAATTTTTTTTTCGGGTCGATCTGAGACAATTTTTTGTATTAAGACTTTTATCTAGTATACTATTTTAAATTTTTAATGTATTTGAGTGACAAGTATTTGAATACTTTTTACTGTATTCGAATACTTTTGAAAGTACTCGAATACTTTTAAAGGTATTCGAATACATTCTAAAGTATTTGAATACTTATTTTTTAAAGTATTTGAATACTTTTCAAGGTATTTGTATCTAGTATTCGCTTGTGCTGGACGTACAAGTATTTAGTATTCAAATACCTTTGATTTGTGTAAAGTATTTACTATTTAGTATTCAAATACTGTTTCAAAGTATTCTGCCCAGCTCTGCTCTACAGAAACTAAAACACGCAGAACTATCTTTTATTCCACCAAATGTCTGCAGGTTTATTTTTACAATTCCACTAGTGAAATAATTTATTGGAAAACCTAAATTTCAACACCCTGTAATTGTTCTCCCGCCATCTGAATCTCCAAAAAAATTTAACTTTACCTGTCTCTGGAAAAATAAATTCAAATTTAGATATACTATTACATTTATTAATTTATTTAAATACTGTGTGAGTTCTTGAAGAAATCTTGAAGATACCACGGTGTTTTATAGTTTAATGGACTCGGCCCATTAAAACCTCGCTCCCTTCGGTCGCTCGGATTTAAATGGGTATCGTCCTTTAAAATACTTCTAAAACACCTAGTTATCAATCTTAGTAGCTATTGACGTTTTATGCAACGCTTATATTTGTTATTCACATGGAAGCAAAAATCAATGTGTGCTGTTAATTTTGGACGAGTGGAGAAAAATTTAGAGAGAGAAAGCTGCACTAGTATGGGCAGAGAGCTTTTCAAACAATCGAAGTCTTACATGGCATTCAAACGACTGGAAGACCAGAAGTCTTACTACCTAATTTAAAATGTACAGATTTTTAATAAATCTTTGTGAATTTTTGCCTGTCGTGTTGCTTTAATTGCATCCGAGAGAGTTAGATTTGATTGTAGTTGCAACCTTTCACTCATTTGTCTGTCACTCCCACAACTAGTCGATCTCGGATAAGTTCATCCCTTAATTCCAAAAGGTTCCGCTAATGCATGTAAAGAGGTTATGTTATTGTGTGCAATGGTATGCCTTAAACAAATCAAAATAGAAACTTAGAATTTTTATACTGAACACTATCCGGGTCGCACAAAGGATTCGAATAAACACGCAACTGATTGGCAATGAGAACAATGTATTCCGAAGCACATGAAATACAAATTTAAGTTATGCAAACATAAACGACGCGAGCGTATTTTCCTCCTAATAATATTAATGCTAGGACCAGGAAAAAATACCGGTAGGCACGAGATCTTTACCCCATTCTCTTTCAAATGAGCCGCCTATCTTCGAAGTCTATACAGTTTAATAAAAAATAGTGGAGCGTATACAAATACATACAAATTTTGAAATGGGCATTAGTTTTACTTTTATTCGAAGTGTCTACATATGATGGAACTTTTTATAAATGCTTTCGTAAATAGCATTGCGCA